TAGTTAAAGATCTCCTAAACAGCTCGTCGAAGTCCACGTCAACATCCCCTCTCTAGAAAGCTTGTATAGCACATCGAAGTCTATAACCTTCCTTCTCATCTCAAGTGTTGTGGAGCTAAGGTATCTGAGGCGATCTTCATATGTGATATGGAACATGCCCGCTCGCGCAAATATTCTCTCAGTGAACTTTCTCTGTACTTGCTCTATCTCATCTACTAAGCAGCGAGAATATGGTGACCAAAAGTGGGTCCTCGGTGAGAAGTTTTCCGAAGTGAGAGGGATGGGCCATGTTCGGATCTGGTCCCGAATGGTCGAAAAAAAATTGTTCTGAGGATTACCGCACTTTACCGTTTCACTGCTTGTATATACCCCCACTAGAGAACAGTCATCAAAATTTTCTATACCGCAATCCCGTCACTGATAAGGAAGTGCAGAATAAACGGTACAATCATCTGGTATATTCCCTACGGTTATCCCTTACTAACTTCATCTGCCCAACCACTGCTCAGTTTCACTTACTCCCCATTTCCTGGAGTTTTTCGGATGTGTTTTGAGGGTTTTTGTCCCCGGCACCGTTCTTCTCGGCGAACGACGCTACCCATCGGCGGGTGTGGCGTTTCATTCCATTCCGTCCGCCAACTGTTTGCCTATCGTTTCCCACAATTTCCGCTCTCCGGGATCTTCTGGAACCGAATTACGAATTTTTGAAAGTTTTGTAGCGAGCACCGCCCACCTATAGCACGCCTCGCCCATCACGGGTGTGACTCCCTCATTTCATCCGCCAACTGACTGCTTATCGTTTCCCACAATTTCCGCTCTCCGGGATCTTCTAGAACCGAACTACGAATTTTTGAAAGTTCTGTAGCGAGCACCGCCCACCTGTAGCTAACGCCCCTCCATCACGGGTGTGACTCCCTCATTTCATCCGCCAACTGACTGCTTATCCGTACCCACAATTTCCGCTCTCCGGGATCTTCTAGAACCGAACTACGAATTTTTGGTGAATCGATGGTAGGCTCAACAAATGTGCCGCATGCCCCGCCCACATGGGCGGGCCTACTCAGTTCAATGTGTGTTCCGTGACATCTTAACGCCATGCCCTATTATCCCAACCAACCTTTGACGCCGCCCCCCCAAACGTTCTTTCAGTATTCCGAATTCCGGACAAGACAGACAAACAGACAGACAAACAGACAAACGTACAGACGTTACCGTTTATATATAGTAAGATGCATAAGTATAACATTTTCTTGACGCGAAAACGATTGCGCTAGGGGCGTGTTGTGTTCAGAGTGTTACGGTACCCCAAGGGCATAATTTTGGGTTGTTGCTAGGGAAACGATTTGATCAAGAGGTTTCACGACATTGAAATTGTTGGGCAGCAAAGGGTAATTAGCTGAATAGGTAGAATAGCTGCACCGAGAAAATTGCTCTTTTACTTCATCCACCCACTGATCAGCATTTGCCGAAAAAAAGTGTTGGGAAGTGTAATCAAAGCTAGCTGCAGCTTGATTTCCATCTACAAAACCCACAAATGTTCATCAAAGAACGAAGACATTCGTTCAGCCTCACTAGTTTGCGGTACTATTATACAGGCCTGCAATCTTCCATTAAAGGATTCATTCACTAGGTGATAATTGAAGAAGGGAAGCAATGCAAACGTACGGCTGCTAAACTCGAAGATTGAAGTTGCATACCCTCGCGATTAGACGGCAAAAAGTCCTGCGGAGGAGTGCCCCCGAAAAAAATCCAAGAAAAGGTCGGTCATGTGTTTGTCAGTGGGGAAGGGGGGGGGGAGCAGTATATGTAGCGGGCAACTGCAAGAAGACTAAACAGTGCGAAAGTTCCTAGCTGAACCATATTGAAGATACCGTCAAACAACTTTTTCTCAAATTTACCCAGTCGGCATCATTAACTCATACTAATTTCTGGTCGAAGACGTCGATCTACTGTCGGAAAACGATACTTTGCGAGAAGGGGAAGAAGATGGTGAAGGATTCATCAAACAGGCAACAAAAGAGAAAACCGTGGATCAAGCCGGAGATAACCTGCAAAATCTGGCGGCGGTGAGTGATCATATACATTTCTTTATCGCGCTACCTTTATAACAAGGTATCTGTGTGGAAAACGTTTCAGCCACAAAAAATGCCAGAGCCATTGGTAAGTTACAGTCTCGTTTACTGAGGATGCTAGGCGTGTCAGTCTAGCTGGATTTGGCGCAACGTCAGTCTGTTCTCCATCAGTTGTTGAAGAGGGGAAGCGACAACATTGGTAAGATATTGAGTTAGTGTAGCGCCAACCCCAACCTCATAGAACACCGCCCCCGAAGACTTACGAATTCGGATTACCATTATTACTTGAGCTCCTTGAAGGGCACTGGTCGCCCGATTAAAGCCCTAAGGTGATTTTACAGAAATGTGAAGAAAATTCGACAAAGTAGCACATCTATGAAGAGAAAAGAAAATGCAAGGGACATTGAAAATTTCAATTAGGCCTCCTCTTAGCCTCAAACAAACCTGAGACCTACTAAGACCGAGAGATCGCGGCGCGAGGGATGATTTCTCAAGGTTCCAGTAATGAACCTCATGACTCTACAAGAGATACTGAGTGCGTCCACTCCATGATACTTGCCCGGGAGCATTACTTTTGGCTGGAAGGCCGACTCTGGAGGCGGAGTCTGGAGGCGGAGTCACTGGAAAAGGGATGTACCACAATAGCTTTGCGCCTTAATTCCTTTTACCGTATCATATCTTTGTCGCGCATCTGGCACGGGGGGTTGTCCATTCCTGAGCCACTACTACCTATCCCCCCATAACCTCTTTGCATTTTCATAGGTATTCGCAGACCGCTCCTTTGAATATTACGCTGGTTTCTGCTCCTACGTTTTCTCGCCTTTTTGAGCCGTCTGCACGAAAGCTAAATGAACATTTCAGCCAAAGCTCAATGAACAACGTCAAAGGTGTCGTAGTTAGCGGGATTGGAAAAGAATAGTGTATGTGCTAGTTGACTCGCTCATGAGGAAAAAGCAGAACAAGCAAAATAAGTTTTTCTTGCATGCGAGAGGCCACGATTTTAGAATCTCCAAGGTAGACCAAATAATAGGCAGGCAGGACAACTGACAGATAGTGATGGTGAGGGAGCTCGCTCTGAGTTGTGGATTACTCAATGCAACCTTGATTCCTTGATTAGCCCTATCCACAATCATTCTGGAGCAATACTCGTGAGAGCTGTCCATTGCGGTTCCAACTCTATTTCCATTTCCGCAACCACAGAGCTCCGATTCACATGATGGTCGCGGAACGTCGCATTAACCCTGCGGATATGCAATACTAGACCTCAATCCTCGAAAGTCTCTAAAAGGGCGACTGTAAAAACAAATCTTTGTGATGCTTGCCTAATCTGTTCAGTTGACTAAAAACCAAATGCATTTTGTCAGTTTTTCGGCCAAATGTGGTCGTTTGTAAAGTGCGTTCTTCTGCAACAGTGCCGAAATGCCCATCAAGCAGTTTTGAACATCCGTTAGCATGGGCTTTGCCTGCAAGACGCAAAGAGGGCGAATGTAACCTTAGGTTAGGTTTTTCGCAAAATTCCGGAACGCTAAATAACCAAATGGGGATAGAAGTAACTCAAAGGGACTATCTGCGACGACTTATGATTCAGTGGGAAAGTGCAATGGACAACAGTCTCGTGCCAAGTTCGCGGGGCAAAGCTGAAGTTGCTTGTTGCTAAAGGCGCTGAAATGCAAAATTCCTCCGCGACACATCCTTCTCTCCACTGACTCCGCCCCCACGCCTAGCTATCTAAGCCTGCCCCGCAACCCCCTCCCCCACCGCGGCGAAAAACGACGCTGCCGGGTAAGAAGGATGAAATGGATGCTTCCGGACGAGTAGCATAAAATTAAAGCACTACTATCTTTTACGGGGTCACGAGGTTCATTCTAAGGACTCGGCAGTCACTCGCTGACAACTAACTCGCCCAAAACCGCGTCGTTTCGCCTTTTACTCGTACAAACTGCTTGATGCTATAGAGGGCCTTACTAGAGGAGTTTCAAACGTTGTCTTCCAAAGTTGCTTCACTGATGAGTTCTTTGGCAACTCATCTTTCATATCTCAACAGTCATACCGCAGATCGTGAATCCAAAGATTGGCAGATGAGGCGTATCTCCCTCTGTCACGATGCACGCTACAGTTCTTTCAGTTCAGTCATACTACATACACTTAAACTTCGAGAATTCGCTTCTTTCATTGGAGGTTTTCCCCTTCGTTGATTAATCAGAAATCCACTCGCTTTACTTTACTGGAAGTGAAAGATAATGATTTACAAGAGTATGTGCTTAAGGCGACTAATCGAGTGCCGCTGTCGGAACTGGGGCTCTCCGAAAAGGAGATCTACACTCTTTGTGCCAGATTTGCTCCCATCGCTGCCAAGGTGGGTGGATCTCTAGAGTCAGCAAACAAATTCCTTTTTCAATTTGCGATAAGATCTCTCTGCTTCAGCACTGTTACGGTTCAAAAGTCGAAGAAGCAGTTTCTGGAGAAGTGCCGTGGTTACGATCAGGATTGCGCTCAATTCCAAGCTAAGGTAAGTGCATCACTGATTTTACACAGCCGTTTCTTCAGCATGAAGCCCATGTTTTGTGACACGTTTTGTTTTCTGGCTAGGGCACACCATAGTTGGGGATTTCAGTCAATCCGCACGATCCCCCCCCCCCACCTTTTTTTTCCCTTTTCAAGAGGGATGGTACCCCCCCCCCCCTTAGTTCCCTCCCCTGACAGAGCTGTCGAGCAGGCAGGGAGGGATGAGGCAAATAGCACACATGAAACAGTAAAAAACACGAGAAGTCAGTAACCTCTCTCACGAGCCGGAAGCCAAATACGATCCTCCCCCCCCTGTACAACGTCCTTGTAAAAAGCAAATCAGAATTAATCACTATTCAAAAACCGGCACTATTTACCCTTTACTGCCCCAATCTTCCGAAAACAGGCCAGTTTTTGACCGACTTTTTTCTGCCTTGGCAGAATTGGCTGAAAATTTGTTCTCTGGGGTAGTTTGACCTCCTGAACATGAATATCACATCCGCTAGGCACGAAACCTCCTGGCGCCCGCGCCACAGGCGCCGGCGCCAAAATACCTTAAATCACCAAATTCGCTGAAAACTTGTTCTTGGGTAGTCTGACCTCCATCCTCAACACGAATATCACATCCGCTCGGCCAAAACCTCCTGCGCCCGCGCTACAGGTGCTGGCGCCAAAATACCCCAGATCACCGGCGCCTGTGGCGCGGGCGCCAGGAGGTTTCAGCGATGTCATATTAGTACTCAGGAGCTCAAAATATCCCAAGAGGCAACACTTGAGCCAAATCTCCAAATCTGCCCATGGAGAAAAAAGACGATCAGAAACTCGCTCAGTTCTGGATGGTTGGGGCAGTAAAGGGTGAATAGTGCCAAAATTTCTTTCACGGCCCAAATACGATCTTTCACGGCCCAAATGCGTCCCCTCTCACAGCGAGCGAATTCCCCGCCCTTGTTGGGGAATCCCCAAACAACGATGTGCCCTGTTTGTGGCTCAAAGTTGTGCATGAAACTGTGGACTCCAATTCGATAATTTGGGTAACTTTGCTACAGATATTTCCTAGCCTACCCGAACTACATTAGCCCAAAAATTCTGCTCAAAATTCACTAAAAGATGAACGTTTTCGTGTTGAAATTCTCCATTTCTCATGAATGGTATGTGAGGATTGCCTGGTGTCGAACTCGGCTCGTGGATCGCTGTACTGCCCGAAACTTTCCCTTTTTCCCTACTTTGCCATTTCATTTTCTGAATAGCATTTCGTTTACAGCAGCATGAAATTCAGTGAAAAGTGCGTGCATTTTCTGGGCAATTCGGTGACGTGAGGGAAGCATCTAACAATTTTACTAGTTTTCATCGACGTGTCGATCCATCTAGAGAGCTATTTCACGAGCTCGTAAAAGTTGACAGGTTTAGCCAGGTTGACTCGACGAGCTTGTTGCAGTTTCATAAGAGTTCACAGGTTTCACCTGAGTTAGACTCTGTAAACCAGAACTAGTGAAGCAGCGAAATTGCAAAATGCCCCCTCCACTCCAATGTCATCAAGCTGCGCCCATTTTGCTCCTTCTTAAGGCATCAGTACCAGTTTATGTACTACATGGTTGAATAGAAAGTACTTGTTTTTACTTGCAGGAGCGCCCACTCGGTGCAGTTGCGAACGCATTTTCATCGGGTGTCGGTTTGACGTACTATAACTGGGACGTGAATGGTATACCGTATTACGGAATAAATGAAGAAGGATCAATCGGCAATGGGCATAATGGCAAGGTATATCAGCTAGTGCCGAACGACTTTCTTGTCCTATGAGAGGCTATGAGAGGCGTGCATTCCAGATTGACTTTGGCTCATGGGGAGGCGGATACTCAAGTAATTTGGGTGTACGAGACTATTTCTCACAGACTCAGGAATATGGAGCGAATTGGTATGAGGGTACGTGGAGGTGCATGATTACTCAGTACCCCAATAACTTCTGAAACATCCCATTCCAGGATTATACGGGTACAAGAGTGGATGGAGCATTCCAGTTGTTCAGAGTGCTGGTGTGGAAGGAGGAGGTGGAACTCAGGTTAGTTATTTCCGTTTCAAAATTTTCTTTGTATTTTCGAACAAATTAGCTTCCTTTCGCGGAGAACACTTTTGTTCTAGGTTCACGTGCCACTAAAAGAAGGAGAATTAGGCCAACCTATCCAGGCCACCAGCGGCTATCATGTGGGACCATATTTCGGCACCGCTGATCGAGTCGGTGTCGATTGGTACAACGGTGGAGTCTCTTTCAGCAGGGTCCGGTTACAAGATATTTTTTATTCGCCCGTTTCAGGATAATACGTGACCCGTTTCTTCCGAACCTTTATTTTTACTACTTCAGGGTGTATCCAGTCCTTTTGTGGGAGTTGGCGTCAGCTCAGGTACCGCGGTCGGATTCCCCTCCATAGGAACAATAATGAAACGAGTAGGAATCAATGATATGGACCAACTAGCTCAAATGGTCCATTTGGGAGCACGAACCCAACAGACCACTTCTATCGGCAGGTAATGAGTGACGATTCAGTCAGGAAGTCTGGAAAATCCGGAATATGGATGGAAAATCTCTACTGATTGGAGTGCAATTCCCTGAGATTACCTCAGCTTGATCTCGTCCAAGCTTTTTTCACATATCATTGCATTGTGTGGTTCTACATATGGAATTTCTTAGATGATTTGAAGTGTTCTTTACGATTTTATAAACTTTTGAAAACAGATGTGTAAGAATTCAGAGCACTTTCAAATTTGGCCTTCATTCTCTTTTGATTGCATTTTACTTTATCTCTACTACTACTACTCTTACTCTAATATTGTAAGATATCTGTTTCTTGCTCATGTACATTAAGATGTAAACGATATATCCATCAAGATTTGAAAAATTGCACAATAGCCAGTATACCAGAAAAATAGGAAAACAATAGAAAAAAGCTTTTAATAGCATTTTTTGCCGAGGTTTTTCCATGCCATGAATATTTGGTATTTTGATAGCTAGGAAATTGCTATACGTTCAGGCAAGAATAGGAGTACCTATCCGTGGGACAGAGTAGGCGTGGCATTTAAACATGGCATTGAACGGTCACACGTTGGATATTTCAGTTTGAGACAACTGCCATCTTGCTCAGACTTGGCCAGAAACATGACCACAACTGTGTGAATGGAGAGATCTTACCAAAAGCACAGATACCACGTTAAGTTGAAGTCCGTGGCCACGCCTACCACATTTCAGGGATCTCGAGTGTACGTATGAGAGATATTTGACACAGTCTAGTCCGACGAAAAATTCATACGCCAACAAATGAAAACAAAAATCACGAGAATGCAAAATTCTCTCACCTACGAAATTCGAACCATCAACCCGCTGTGGCCTTTTCTCTGAGCACGGATGAAGATTAAACTTCTTTTGTGAGGTCTGTATATGCACTACTGTAACATGCTCTGAACCGTTTCAAAAAAGCGTTCCTGAAAAGCACTGGACCGTTCCGAGTTATTGCATTGGCCCATCAAATCTGGATGGAATTGAATGCGTGGTGCATTCTAAAAAGGAATGAAGTAGTGCTCGACTGTTTCATGCTTTCATTGGAGTCCTATCTGGAGCAAAACGGAAATCAGAAAGATTGAGCCTGAGGGACTAAAGTACTATCTGATCAAGGAAATCAAAATAAAACACATGTTCAATTTTGGATAGGTTCAGTCCATACTTGGTGAGGGAACGCCTGCGGTTGCGCATATTATTTCAACAAAATGTAGAAGGCATTTCTAGTAAAATATTTCTATTGGCAATGCCATATGTCTTCGGGCTACACAAAGACGTGACTACGAAAGTCTTGAAAGAATTCCACTAGCAGTGTAGCCATCGCCACGTTCAAATGTAGTACCTAGCCACACCCTCGAACCTCCGAGATACGGAGTGTATGCCTCTTCTAGCACATCAACATGAGGTCATGAAGAGCATAAGAATCATTTTAGATGCACCCGGAAGATCAGAAATGAACCGGAGAGGGGAGCAAGTTGCCACTCATCGTGAACTTATATCGCCGACCTCTGCGGCTACTAATTGTAGACTATGGAGCACATTTTCAAGAGTAGATGAAGGGATTGGCCACTCTCACAAAGTACAGCAGTTTAGGTTACGATTAGAAAAACGATTTTGTTGGCGGTTCACTGCCGTGTCGGGACTGTCTATTGCCGAGGCAGCTGAACACAAAAACCCCATCTGTTTTTCTTGCACTTTCACGAAAACGACTGGGTCTCAACGCCAGCCGGAAAAATGGAAAAACGTAAATCTCGACATGCCTGAAATGAGTATGCCAATAATTGAACATATTTTGGAAAAAGGTCCTGCAACACTCTGAATGGAGTTTCAGACTGGTTTTCCATTTATTGAACTGTACCATTGAACAACAAATGCATAACCCGGACATATGTTTCGAGGAGTTGGTTTCATTCTTCTAGAAATACTTCTAGGCGGGGTACAGCATCGTGATGTGTGAAATGCTGGTGTCGGTACGACTCCCCTGGGGTCTTGGTGCGACTCTTCCGGGGGAGGGTCCCGGTGCGACTCCACCTTCCCCAGCATCCACCTAGCAGTTTCCCACATGTTCCCAGCTTCCTGCCAGTTTTTTCCAAAATTTCCTCCCCAACACCGACCAAATACGACCCCTCCCCAGCGGCCAAGTACGACCCCGCCCCCATGTGTTCATACAACGATGCTGTACCCTGATACCTCGACTGCAATGAAAAAACAGGTTGATCTCGTTCCCAAGAAAACCTTGTTTGTCAAAATTTTGCTTTCCAAACTTTCCTTTCCGAGTGATGCAGAAGGGACAAAAATAGATGGCGGTTAGAGAATGCTAAGATTTGCGAAATTTTGTTGGTACGGTCGCTTTCCTGATTGAGATCTACCATAGTAACCCCATTGCCACAATAGAGCCACGGGATATGAAAGCGTTGAATGGTTCTGATAGAATTTCACGCATGAAAGCGGCCGTCTTCTAACAAGGGAACCCCAACAGGTCGACCCGGCCATTTGCAATGAGATGTAGGTATATGGACGTGTCTTGAGCCGCTGAATCCAAATCTGCCCTCCGATTTTGCGGAACGATTCTCTGAAGGGAGTTACGGACCATTTAATCTTTGCTCGTTGTATAAGTTGAGAGGGATGGTTGG